CCCCCCCCCCCCCCCCCGCGCGCCCGGAATGCAGGCAGATTAGTGCCTGCGTTCCGGTCCAGTTCGATCTACAAAAATGCTGCAAGCACTGGACCACAACGCAGGCACTAATGTGCCTGCTTTCCGGGTGCGGGCAATCGACCTGTCGACGGGGGGAGTGGCCGGGTAGCCATTGACTTCGATGCACCACCACGCCCCCTCCCGCCCCTGAATGCAGGGAGCTGGCCAGCTTGCGTTACAGTGTGTTCTAGAGACCGAACACTCTGGAACGCAGACTTTGTGGTGTGAACCGACCTTCTCTCTTGGCTCTCTTCTCTCTCCTCGCTCTCTCCCGTTTCTATCTGCTGTCTCTTCTCTCTCTCTCTGCTGTCTTTCTCCTGTCTGTCTTTTCTTACCTCCACTGCAGCAGCTTCCCAGGTCTCCTCTCGTGCGCTGGCGTCCTGTCCTCCCGTGGTGCTCGTGTGGCTGAATGTGGCCCACGTTGCACATGGGGAGAGGTGTCCGTCCCCCCCTTCCCATCTGCGACATCTGACACATTCAGCCGCATGAGCACCGTGGGAGAACAGGACACAGGTCAGTGAGCTGATCGTGATCTACCAGTGTTTGCTTTGCGTTTGACTGTTAGATCGTGATCAACCTAATGGGCACCTCTGGTGTAATCAATCTGCTTATCCCGAGAAATCTGTCTCTTCCCCAATCCATTCTTGTAAATCCAATCCAGATCCAGATCTCTACATACAGTAGCTTTTCTCAACCAGGGTCCCGTGGCATCCTGGGGTGTTTTCTGGCTTCCTCAAGGGTGCCCCGAAATGCTCACACTGCATCATGCCTCTTATGTCAACAGGGCTCTTGATGTTAAAGGGGAGGAACTCTGACGTGAATGGGGATCCTATTGTGAGAGGGAGTGAATGTGATTTCACAGGTGGGGGCTCCTCATGTGAAGGGGTTCCAGATGTAAAGAGGGACTCTAAAGTGTAAAAGGGAGGATTCTGGTACGAAAGGGGATGGGAGGGGGGGTTATGATCTGAAAGGGAACCACACTTTTTTTTTCTTTTTTTTTTTCGTGGGGGTCCCCCCTTAAAATCCATGCCATCTTGGATAAGGGTCTGGTGTGGATTTTGCAGGGACTACTTTTTTTTTACCTTTACGGTTTTTACATTTTAGACTGGGGTTGCCTCAAGATTTTGCGTACTTTTAAAGGGTGCCGTGGCTGAAATTTTTTGAACAAAAACTGATATACAGCTAAAGCCTAAGTGAGGGTCTCCAGCCTGGAGTATTCAGATAAATATACAGGAGGCTGTACAATAAAAGGGAGATTGCTCATAGAGTCTTCCCGGTAATGTACAGTTTTCTTATATAGTGAGAATTATATCATCTTTTTTAGGACTGGGGACAGGAAGACTGCAATTTACAGGAGGTGAAAATAAACTTCAGCAAAACAAAACTATGACATAATTGCTACGTCTAAAATCCATAGATACAAATTATCACTACAAGGCTGCTCAGTCACAGACCGCAGAGCCATTGGCTGTCAGCGCAACATGATGAATGTGTCTTTTATTATAAGCTGCCGGCTGAATAAATAGAACTACTTCTCAGACTGTATGAAATTACTTTTAAAGGGCCAGTACGGCAAACTCAGGGGCTCGTTTACACCAGTGGACATGCGTTTTGGCATGCATCGTGAGGGCGTGCTGTGACACATTGTTACAATTCATCACATAGCTTGCTTTTCTTTCTTTAACTTTCTTTAAGTTACGTTTCATGTAATTTTATGTGCGGCAGCACGTTGGTACGCGTTGCAATGCGGTGTATTTCAATAAAATGTATGCCTGCTGCGACATTCACCAGCAGTGCATTGGTGGGAACAGGTCCTATCCAAAACAAGGCTGCTTGCCTTGTCTTTGCATTGGGCAACTATGCAGTGGTGTAACTATAGCCATAGCAGCCTGGGCGGCTGCTATGGGGCCTGGGGGGAGGTAAGGGGGCCCCATTAGGTTGTTGAAGTACATTAAACATAGAGCATGTGAAAATAGCACAGTACTGTATCATTAAGGGTTCCTGTGGTTGCACTTGATTGCAACCCTTATCCTCTGTAAAGTCTGCAATATAGGAAGGCTGACGCCAGATGCACTAGAGGTGTCATTGAGATCTTGGAGTCATTAGCCACAGCTCAGAGAGGTGGTCAGGGCCCCATGAGCTGTAGTTACGCCCCTGCAACTCTGCCTTGTGGGGCTAGTGTGACCAGAGTCCTAAGGGACATATGATGGTTGTGCTTCACTGCTCCCTCTTACAATACATGTGTGAGTTGGTTGACCCATTGAAAACAATGCACTCCCTGTGTGGCTGATTTTTTATCTCAGCAGTTGTTGACAGAGGCAGAGCAATTGTACTGAACCACTAAGAGCGCCCTCTAGTGGCTTAAAGTGTTAGTGAACCTAAACTTTGACTGCAGCTCAATTCTCAATGCAACTTTCCATCTCCACATTGCAGGAGAGGTGGTGTGCAGAGGAGAGTTCCAGCTGCCAGGTAAAGAAGAAATAAGGTAAGAATTATTCTGCTTTAAACCTCCCCTAGATTAAATAAGCATTAAAATGTTGCTATCCAGGAGGGGGCACATACTAATATTTTATTGTTGACTGCAATTCAACTTAAGCAGTAGGTGGGAATACCTGTTGATCCTATCATATCTGTGTAGGGGGTGACAATGCTAACCACAGGGTCAACTTCCTGTGGCAGCCTTGTTGGCCCACTGTGCATCAATCTGCACTCTGACTACAGGATACCATGTCAATGCTCAGCATTCCTGAAGCACACTGTAATCAGCCTGTGGCATCAAAGGTAGCCACAACCACTTGCCCAAAGGCTTTAATTAACAGCTGCTCCTGTAAAGGAGTACTGCTGTCAACATTATAGGGATGCCTTTCTCAACTAGGGTTCTGTGGAACCCAAGGCTACCTCCCGAAGTTGCTAGGGGTTCCTTGAACAGTGAACAATTTCTGCCTCTCATGTAAGCAACCACTGACACCAATGATCTTTTCAGGCACCAGTAAGGAGGACATTTTCTGCACTGGCCGCCAGTGTAAGGGGCATTCCTCCCACTAACCACACCAATGTACACGGCATTCCTCCCACTGACCACCAATGTAAATGACATTCTCACCACTGACCACCAATGTAAGGGGCATTCTTCCCACTGACCACCAATGTACGCAACATTCCTCCCACTGACCACCAATGTAAAGGACATTCTCACCACTGACCACCAATGTAAGCGACATTCCTCCCACTGACCACCAATGTAAGGGACATTCTTCCCAATGGCCACCAATGTAAGGAACACTCTTCCCAATGATCACCAATGTAAGGAGCATTATTCCCACTGGCCAACAAAATAAGAGTCATTCTTCCCAATGACCACCAATGTAAGGGACGTTCGCCCCAGTGACCACCAAAATCAGGAGCATTCTTCCCACTGACCACCAAAATAAAGGACATTATTCCCATTCACCACCAATATAGAAGGCATTCTTCCCACTGACCACCAGTGCAAGGGACATTCTTTCCAATGACAGCCAGCTTTAGGGGCATTCTTCCTACTGACCACCAATATAAGGGGCATTCCTCCCAGTGTACTAGGGCTTTTCAATGACAACCAGTGTAAAACCAGTATATAGTTGTCCCTCTTCTTAGTCTGGTGTATAAACCTTTATAGACTTAAAACATTTTTTTATACTACACCAAATCTTTCATGCAACATCTTAATGATTGAACTTGTTATTTTGGAAAGCCAGTATAAAGAAAATGTAATGGTGAAAAAAGTACTTGCACGTTTAACCAGTCTATTTGTGTATATTAATTCACCCCGGTCTGCACACCTGGGGGCATGCCAGTGGCACATCCTGCCCCCGTGCCTACATAATTCCTGCTCAAAAGTGTCCCTATTTCTCATCTTACAGTGTTGGAAGGTACACTGCTGTGCTCTCTGTTTAGAAATCCCAGAATACTTTAAAAAAACAATGCCATGAGTATACCACTGTATTAAAAGTTACAGTTTGTGCCCTTAAAGCACATTAAATAAATACAATAGAACGCAACTTTAAGACAAGTGCCACATTTGCAATCTGATAAAATCAAAGAAACAAATGCCGACAGCTGCACCAGGTTATTATTATTATTACTTTATATAATTATTATTATTATTTAAATTATTGTTATAACACTGAGAGCCGCTGTACCGTCGGCTCCCGCCAGGTGTCGCTGTGAAGAATCAGCACTGCATATCACTGGACTTGCAGCGACCCCTGGTGGAACGTTGAGGGGAAAAAAGGCGGAATCTGATTGGCCGGAAAGGTGACAGCGGACGTTTTGATTGGTGGCGCGGCGTTTCCGGCTATGCACGTGTATCACTGCGGCCTTCTCCCAACATGGCAGAGCAGTGGCCGGAGGTAGAGCGGGCGGAGAGCGAGAAGCGGAGGGAGCTGGTGCTGCAGGGGGTGGATGACCGTCTCCGGCTCAGTGACGGGCGGCTTCCCCCGGGCCTGTTCTCCCTCTCTCTTCTTAACTACCTGCAGGTGAGCGGCTGCGCGGAGCTCCGGGAGGTGCCGGGCGACATCGGCCGCCTCGGCCACCTGCAGAGCCTCGTCCTGTGCCAGAACAAGCTGCGGAGCCTCCCGGGGACCCTGGTGGAACTGCGGAGCCTGAAGGTGCTGGACGTGTCCGGGAATGAACTGGAGGAGCTGCCGTCCGAGCTGTGCCGCCTGGCAGAGCTGTGCTCGCTGAATGTCAGCTGTAACCGGCTGAAGGATCTCCCCCCTGGGCTGGAGCGATGTACAAAGCTGGCCTCCATCATCCTGTCCCGGAACACCCTCACCGCCTTCCCCCCGGGGCTGCTGAGCGCCCAGCTCCCATTACTGGCCACCATCACCGCCTCCGACAACCTCATCCAGGAGCTGCCCGGGGACATCGCTCTGCTGTCGGGGCTCAAGGTACCCACCGATAGCTGACCATACACTGTGCAGTCTGATTGCATGATCCCCTTGAGATCTACCAAGGACTTGTCTGATTGGATGCATTGTCTACTTTTTTTTAAAGGGAATTGTACAGAGATTGTACGATCAGATTCTATAGTCTATAAATGTCACTTCTATCCGACTTTGTGGAATGTGAGATCGCAGAAGTGTTCCAGGGCCGATCGGTTCTCCTGCGCGTACCGTCTGCGATGCCGATATCCCCTGGAACAGCTGAGAAAGCGTTGGAATTCTTCACCTTTTGCCGGTCACACGTTCCACTGCCGAAAAAGTGGTTGGGATTACGTTAAAATGTGTGACCACGTGACCGGTCACACATTCCAACCCAGTCACAATCTTTGATAGAACACCCCCAGCCCTCCTCTTTTAGAGCCCTCATGCGGGGGCTGCCCCCCACAGTGGGCTGGATCTTGGGAGGAATTAAACAAATAATATGAATCAGCTGCCATAGAGCATCCGAAACCCCCTGAGATACTGATGGTTGGCATCTCAGGAAGCTTTGGGATGCTCTACAGTGCTCGGTTGGTGAATGGCACATAATGCTGGGAGGGATCCCAAAGGGAAAAAGGTATTGAGCAGAGGGAAAGGGGATTGTAAGGCAATGAGGTAAAGTGCATTGGGAAGGTGAGAAGGTTTGCTTTAAGCCTGAAACATGTTTAAAGGTTTTTGATTTAAAGGAGAACTATGAGCTGAGTGCTTTTCACCCATCCTCATAGTTCTAGCCGACCTGTGACAATGAGACTGTCACAGGTCGGCTCAGTAGATCGGGAAGTGAGCAAACACATACCGGCGTTCGCTCACCTCTCGATCCTATCATGGCTCTCTGCCCTGACAGGGGAGGGGCTGGATTCCCCCCTCCCCGCTCTGATCTGCCAGCGCTGACTGGCGGAACGGATGGGGGAGGGGGTGGGTACAGCTGGCTCTGCCTTTGGATAGGCAGAGCCAGCTGTCAGTCACGCAGCTGGACGGATCCCGGCACAATTGTCGGGATCCGCTGCGGCGTCTCAGTATACCGCGAGTTACAGCTCGCGGTATACTGAGCCTAGGGTGACGGGAGGACGCTAGTTTGTGTCCTCCTGTTACCCTAAGGAGAACTATGGGGAAAAGACTTAACCCCATAGTTCTCCTTTAATTCCAGCATCCGAAGGGTTAACAGTTTCTTGCTCAGGTTTCTACTAATAAGAGGAACTAAAGTCAGCCGATTTTCATAAATTTGGTATCAGTCGGGTTTTATGGGACTCTGGACTGTGTATGTCTCTTCTGCCATAGAAGCTCTTTCCCTCCTCCGCTAGCTGTATACTGATGTCCACACGTGGGCAGGTCAGTATACAATGTCGGTATGATGTGGCTGCCAGGGCGAAATAACTCCCCATTCACGTTCCTGGAAGTTACTTCTTTCCTGATTAATCAGTAGAGATGGCGGAAGATTTTGGAGCTGGAAGGACGGGAGCGGATTTGAGTGGCCGGTGATAAGTGGGGCATCGCTGCATCATCACTGGAGGAAGGAACTTTGGGAGGATAGTCTGCCATAAGTTGAGGATTTCGTTGGGGTTTCTAAATAAGATACATTTTATATTCTTGTGTGCAAATATTTTATGTTGTATTCTGTTTATGAATCAATGTTTTGTTTCTTGAAGCTCAATGTAGAAATGCTCCTCCCGGGATGTGGCAGATCTCCAAGGACACAGGAAACATAATCTCCAAGGACATTCAGTGTTCCATCCTGTTCATACAATCTCACTTCTTCTCTCCTTTCAGACTCTGGACCTCTCCATCAATCAGCTCACCGAAATCCCCTACGAGCTCGCCGACTGCACCAAGCTGAAGGAAATCAACTTCAAGGGCAACAAACTGAAAGACAAAAGACTGGAGAAGATGGTCAACGGCTGCCAGACCAAGTCGATCTTGGAGTATCTGAGGGCCGGGGGTCGCGGTGGCGGGAAGGGAAAGGCCGGTGCGGAGAACGTGGTGAAGGAGGATCCCAAAGACAAGAGGAAGAAGAAGGGGAGACAGAAGAACGGTGGAGGAGAGAAGGAGGATGAAGTGGAAGATGTCAATAAGCTTATGCTGAGAATTCTGCACATTTCAGAGAACCCGCTGGCCCTGAAAGTCAGCGTGAGTCCCACTGTAAAAGATGTCCGACCGTATATTGTATGCTGTGTGGTGAGGGGGATGAACCTGAAGCCTGGCAACGCCTTGAAACGCTTCTTGACCGCTCAGGTAGGAAAATTGGATAATGTTGTTTATTTTTCCATCCATGTCGGTGTTGGCTTCCTTCCTTCAATTGCTGCCGCCTTTCTTTTCTGGTTGCATCATTTGAATATATTTTCTGGGGAATGTGGGTTATGGTGGCGAGATCGCGACACTTGACTTTCCAGGTCTGTCTTCCTTTTGCGAGTCGGTCCAGTCTGCATTCTGCTTTTTATTTTATATTCGCAAGAAAAGGAGCGGGAGCACCCTGCGATGGCCAGGAACTACAGCAGGGTAGTCCCACCACTGGGGTCCTGATGTCATCTAATAGGCCATTTCTCAAAATCTAATAACTGTTTCCAGAGTTCTGGATCTGGGGGCTAGAGTAATAGTTCCATCTGTTGCTCTGCTATGGATAGAGTCCAAACTCCTAATACTCTACACCAACCAGAACCAATGGCACCATTGAGGACCCAAATATTAACTTCCCCATATCTTATAAAACTCGCACCTGTGGAGTCAACCAGGTCACCTTTGCTCTGCCACACAGGTGGTTTTATGATTGTGCAGATTGGAGGGGGCAATTTCATTTTCCCAAATTTGCCTGGGAAAGAGGAATTACCCTTTAACACATGCCAAAGTTGCAAAACGGTGGGTTTTGTTTAACCTTTTGTCAGGAAGGGGTTAGGCTGGGTTCACACCTAGGCGTATCCAATACAATAGTTTGTCTTGTGTTTCCTGTCCTGTTTTTACCTCAATTCGCGATAAAAAAACGCGCAACGAACGCGCGTTTCCGAGGGCTACCTGGCTGTATCCCCAATGTATACGTGCGGTAAATACGCCCCAAAGGAGCTCCTGTACTTCTTTGGGCGTACGGCGTTTTGTAAAGCGTTCATACGGCGTGTAATACGCCCAGGTGTGAACCATACCCATAGGAAATAATGGGATTTCGGCGTTTGAGCATTTTGCAGAGCATAGGAACTGTCTACAAAACGCCCAGGTGTGAACCGGGCCTAAAGGAACCTCTTCATTTACGGAAACTAAGTCCTCACATCAGTAACTCCTCCCATATACACTGCATGCACAATTATTAGGCAAGTTGTATTTTTTGAGGATTGAAATTCATTATTGAACAACTGCAGTGCTCTCGGTCAATCCAAAATGTTAATAAACCTCAAACCTGAATATTTAAGAAGGTAAAAGTGAGGTTTTGGCTTTCTTAGGAGAATATTTTGATGTGCACAATTATTATAGGCACGTTTTATGCACGTTTTTTGTCCAATGAAACGCGCGGTTTATGCTCGTTTTTTAACCTCCCTGGCGGTATGATTTTTTTTTTTTTCTCTGTTTTTATCGTTTTTTTTTGTAAAATTTCCCGCCGGTTCCGCCCCAAAGAAGGTCCTGCACTATTTCGGACGTCTTTCAGCGTGTCAAAATGCACTGAAATACGCCCAGGTGGGAACCATGCCCATAGGGATTCATAGGATTTCACTGCTTGAGCGTTTTTTAGCGCTTCGATCAGCGCTGAAAAACGCCGAGGTGTGAACCCAGCCTTAGTGTGCAGGATTATTATGCAACTAAATGGGAAAACAACTTTCCCATCTCACTTGTTTTTATCTGTTAGCTCCTGTACTTTTTCTGGCGTAGGCCGTTTTGTAGCGCGTTCAGACGGGCTGAAATACGCCAAGGTGTGAACCATACCCATAGAAAACAATGGGATTTCGATGTTTTAGTGTTTTGTAGAACGCGCTACAAAAGGTCCAGGTGTGAACCGGGCCTTAAAGTGAGAATAATAAACAAACTCAAAATTTACAAATAAACATTTCTGAAATTTTCAAGAACAAAATCAATGACCAATATAGCCAATACCGGTCCTCAGCCTTCCCGCCATGGTGTCTGTCAGTTTCTTCATCTGTTGACTGTCAACTTTTTGTGCAGCAGCAACCACAGCCTCCAGACACAGTTCAGAGAGGTGCACTGTTTTCCTGCACCGTAAATCTCCCATTTCGGAAGGGCCCACAAGTTCTCAATAGGGTTTAGGTCAGTTGAGGAAGGCGGCCATGTCAATATACTTTTATCTTTGAGGGCCTGTTCACACGACGTCCGTTTTGTGTGCTGACCGGCTCCGTACGCTGCTGCACTCAAAATGCATCCCTATGTGTTTTATGGGCTCCAGTTCTTACGTGCGCAGTCCGTTCAGCTTACGACAGAAAAAATACGACAGAAAAAAATACTGCATGTCACATTTTGTCCGGTCCGGAAACGCAACGAGAACGGAACGGAAACACAACGCAATGCAGCTAAGGGGGGAAAAAAAAAGAAAAAATTGTATTCTTGCTCCACTTATTATGATGTCATCAACGTTGACAAAAAATTAACTGTCAGCAACCGGACCGAAAACGCATCAAAAACGCACTGCATCAGCAGCTCCACGTCTGCTGATCAGGACCTGATCTCATGTGAACAGGCCCTAAGGCCTTTACTGGCTAGGCACGCAGTGGAGTACTTTGACACATGCGATGGAGCATTGTCCTGTATACATATCACGCTCAGACTTTTTCCTGTACCACTGCTTGAAGAAAGTCTTCTAAAAACTGGCAGTAGGTTTGTGAGTAGATTTTGAGTCCATCTGCAACCCGAAAAGGTCCAACTAACTCATCTTTAATAATACCAGCCCACCAGTACCCCGCCTCCGCCTTGCTGGTGTCTTGAGACGAAGTGGAGCTCTGTGTCCATTACTGATCCTGCCACGAGTCCATACATCTGATCCGTCCGGTGTCACTCTTCTCATCAGACCATAAAACCTTTGAGAAATCTGTCTTCATGTATTTCTTGGCCCCGTCTTGACGTTTCAACTTCTGTGTCTTGTTCAGTGGTGGTCGGGTTTCAGCCTGCCTTACCTTGGCCATGTCTCTGAGCACTGAACAGCGTGTACTTCCGGGCACTCCAGGTAGGTTGCAGTTCTGGAATATGACGGCACCGGAGGATGATGGGTTCCTGGGAGCTTCACGTTTGGTTCTTCTCAAATCTTTGGCAGTTCATTTTTGTCTTTGTCTCGGCACGTTTCTTGTGACCCTGCTGACTATTGATGGTTCTGTGATCACACCCCAATATCTTAGCAATTTCAGGAGCGTTGCATCCCTCTAAATTACTTTTATTTTTTTTTTACAATTTTTGACTTTTCAGAGTCGGTTAAATCTCTTTTTGGCCCATTTTGCCTGAGGAAATTAAGCTGACTAATTATTATGCACACCTTAATATTGGGTGTTGATCTCCTAAAGCCACATCCTCCCTCATTACACAAATACAATCACCTGATTTGCTTAAATCAATAAGCCTTCAGGTTTAGGCCTCATTCACACAAGAAAAAGCCGGTAGGTAGAGCTCCAGACCGCGTGCACGGCTGTATCAGGCAGCTCCTGGGAAGGACAGGTGCTGCGTGTGATTAGCCCTTCTCTATGGGCCTGCGCGGTCGTACGCTGCACGACACTCCCCCCAAGTGCAGGTCCGTGCGGGTGTCCCAGCTCGGACGCAGACAGGATCCATCCTGTCAGCGTACGAGTGCGGACAACTGTACAAACGCGCAGGGCGGCGTACGGCCGCGTTCTCCCATAGAGAAGGGCAGGGGCTGCGTGCACCGAGCTGAACATGCCGGCTTTTTCTCATGTGAATGAGGCCTTATGCAGCTTGGAGTTGGACAATATGCATAAAAATGGTGATTTGGTCAGTTGCCTAATAATTGTGCACACTATGTATGATAATAGATTCCTCTCTCCCAGTTTCACATTGGAGGGGATCACAGGAGGCCAATATAAAGACATAATTTACTTTTACTAGCTGCACTTAAAAATAAAGTTATTACGGATTTTCGGCAGACTGAACCCAGGTTTGTGATCAGGAAAGTTTTCAGCTTTTAGAAGTTCTTAGCCTGGGTATCGATTCACACAATGGATGTCTGTAAATGGCGGTGTAAGCCGTGCTCCTCTCCTGTAAATAGTTTTCTTTATTATGTTATTTGTGGTCACATTGTACCAATGCGGAATTCTTTATAGACCAAACTTCATGATGACATCTGTGATAAGAGGACGTTGGCAACGATTGCCACCCACGATCTAAAGCTGGTGAAGGGGCCCCTTCTATACGATGCCAGACCACCCAAAGAATTCAAGGTGAGCGCTGATTAATGTTTTACATGAATTACATTTTGTGGGAAAGTCAGGTCTGGGAGGCCCTGCCAATTATCTCCCAGTCATGGAGGCTTTAAGTATAAACTGAAAAGACGTGTTAAAGGGAACCTGAGAGAATACAAATATGAAACCTTTTATGGATGACTTGGTTTGTAAAATAAAACCTATACCTAAGGTGCTTTTTAAAGTATCGAAATCTAAGGTCCCTATCTCTTGCATACAGCTTGGGCCAGTTTTAGACAGGAGCCAAATAACCTTCCAGCATGTCTTTGGAGTGTGGGAGGAAACCCACGCAAGCACAGGGAGAACATGCAAACTCCGTCCTTCTGGAGGGTGGCTACTTTTGTTCCCCATGGTCCCTCTGTGTTTTGTTAAGTAGTTGCCGCTCCTGTGATGGACTACAATCTCATGTTTAGTTTACTAATTTGTACTGAGATTGTAGTCCATCGCAGGAGCGAGCTTGGAGCGGTGACTACTTTACAACATACACAGGGCCTATGGGGAACAAAAGTAGCCCCCCTCCAGATGGAAGGACAGTGTCGGCACCAATTCAGAGATGATTGGAGGATCTACAGTCGAGTGATGCACAAAATAAGATACATTGTTGTTAATAGTTAAGGTACTCGAATTTATTTTTAAGTTTAACTCCTGAGTTTAGTGTAAAAAATAGTGCTACTATAGAAGAAGGGAAACACAATGGCTTAAAATGCCCAGAACTATTTCTAGCAGTTGGGTATATATGTGTGTAATAATAAATTGGTGTTCGGATGTGTTAAGTTTCGCTATGATTTATACATTTTCTAATAGCGGTGTCATTTGTAACAGTGAAATTGAATGTTTAATCTTGTGTATGTTGTGTTGTGGTGCTGCAACAATATTCACCACCAGGGGGCAGCGGCCTTACATTAATGTACATGGTAGACAAAATATATACCCAAACCAGGTCCACAAATGTTACCATATGAGTTTGTGTGTCTGTCAGTCTACATGGGTCTTATGTGTAAAAACTGCACCAACAAGAATCTAGCGACTGGATCACATTGAACTTTCCCATGCAACCAGATGGCATTTTAATTTATTTTTAATATCTGTGCAGATTTGAAAATTGAACGTGGATTCTGATTGCGTAAATATGTATTAAAACTTGGCTACCCATAATGCATAGCATATTTTAAGGCTTGGTGGTCACAGTAATGTAGTTGGGAGCTACTGTTTGCCTGGCATGTGAGGTTGGCACCATAATTAGGCTATACGATCTGACCATACAATCTCCTTTTAGATCTACCATCAACTTTGTAATGCCGACTTCTGCCTAAATTTGATACTAGTTGAATGGTTTTGTTTAGATTTGTCTTTCATTACCTATAGTTTTTGTAAACCGAGAGGAGATTAGGTTTCAAAAAGCTATACCTGAGTTATGCACTCTCCAATCATTGCATAGTGCATGACTAGCTTAGGACTCGTGGAGCCCTTACAGTCCTAGGGGTATATTTATAAACCATTCCCAGGGCCATCCATCTTGCAACATTCCATGTATTTCAATCTGTGCAAATGGAGCCAAAAATAGATTTTACGTTTTTGGCCATGGTTACCCTTTTGGATTTTGGAAGTAAAAACTGGTGAACAGCGTTCTTTTTTTTAATTCAATATTGGGAACATTGGGATTGGGTAACAAATATATAAAGTAGATGTTCTCAGCTGCTGGTGTGTGTTCCCATGCTCAGTGCTGATGCACTGATCTCGGCATATCACATGGTTTATCTTTGAACACCCCGCATCCCCTTCCCTGTTTCCCCCTTCCCTGTTGGCCCCTTCCCTGTTGGCATACATGTGCATCCCTTACGCACATGTGATTCTTTGAATCAAATGGAGGGGAAGGCAATGTTAACTTTTTTTGATTATTTTTGTTTACTTAAAGTAGTATTACGGTCTGAGTATTTTTTACCTTAATGCATTCTCTGCGTTAGGGTAAAGACAGCCCAGGACCCTTTTTAAAATTTTTTTTTTTACCCCAGTCTCCCCCACACTTACCTTTCAGCTGCGTTCGTCCCTGCTGCCAGTCCCGAAGCGATCCTCCGTGCCCCGAACTTCCAGGGTTGCGGGGGAGGGTACTGATGGCAGAGGAGCCATAGGCTCCTTCTGCCATCAAAGGAAGGGGCGTGACCTGCCACAGAGCTGTGTGTCTATGGACGCACTCAGCCGATGCGGGGACGAGTGCGCACGGGTGCCTCCCTTAAAACGGCCCCTGCAGGGCCGGAGGGATGAGCATGGCGGGGACACACTAGAAAACGAGGAAAGAAGTACTTTAAAAAAAAAAAAACAGCCTCCAGCAAAGGAGGGTCTCCTTAAAGGAGAAATAAAAAAAAAAAAATTGGCTTTAATATCACTTTAACTTTTGCTGTCACAAGGTAACGCAGAAGGTGGCAGGTTTCTCTTTATGGAGACACCTGGGGTCTATTAGACTCCTGATTATCTCTCACGCACTCCAATACAGTCAAGAAGCAAGCACAGGACTGTGCTTGATTATCTGTTTACCTAGCACTTCAACCAGCTTCTGACAGCTGTGAAGCGGGAAGCGCTCCCTGCTTCATTCATTAGAGAGCATATCAGGGGAAGGGACGTTCCTTGGTCTAATGCTGCTCCCTATCCTGACAACCCTCTGCTATGGTCTCGGGACCCCCAGAGGAGTGAGGGACCCTGAAGATAATGCTGGGGGGAAGACCAGGCATGGTATTGGTTGCTAGGACGCCAGTAGTCCTAGCAACCAATGACTGCAGAGGAGGTGGACACCTGATGTCATTGGTTGCTAGGACGCCAGTAGTCCTAGCAACCATTGACCAGGCTTGATTATGGCTAGCATTGGATGCACCGGTGTATCCACTGTCAGGCAGCCATAACCCAGTGCAGCTTAGCGTTTACAATCTGGACGGAACTGCTACTTGGTCAGTATCTGGACCGCAGTCCCCCATTTAGTGATGGCTGCCCTAGACCAAAATGAGCAGTTAACCCTGGCCGTGCGGGGGTAGCCCCACTTCAAGGGTCAACATTTTGCATTTCCTCTTTAAATAATGGGAATGGGAACATGTAACAAACACATAATAGAAGTTATACCAGATTGGCTGTATAAGTGGAAATGCACTTAAAATAAAATGGTGATTTGCTGAAGAAGTCCTATGGACAATACACCGTGCATTGGCATTGTGAACTGTGCTCAGCCTCCTGCAGCCTCTGATACATGATGGCCCCGGACACAATGTACGCGGCTCACAATCATACACAAGATGCAATTACAGCTTGTCTTATCTGAGCTCCTCCGGGAGATTAGATTCCTCCGGCCTGTCAGTCATGGAGTGTCTGGATGAATACAAGCTGGGCTCTGTGCACACAAGACCGGTGTCACCTTCTTCACCCCTGATTGTATGGTGTGGACGTGTTGTGGAAACAACGGGGGGCTGGCATGGCTCTTACTATAGCCGTTGGGAGAAATCAGAGGGTAAACAGGTGTAATAAAGGGCCCCAGACCGGAATGAATTCCTGTACAGAACAGGCTGAGGTTTCTCAGAACTGCTTTGTATGTCTACAATGGCTCGGCTGATTTCCTCCTAAGCTTTCCTGTCACTCTTTAATGAGCGGCTTATTGAGGAGTATTGAGCAGTCTGGTAATGAGTGTACACAGCACCTCAAGCTCTTGGCCGCGGCACCAAGGAATTCAGTCCCTGGCTGGAAGTCCAAACTTGTTATATTTGGGTTTTGTTGAGAGGCCGCACGTTGCTGGCGCTGGGAAGCCAAAACGAAACGGGCTAGCCAGAGATATGACACATTGAAAGGTGCAGACTGAGCACAAAGTCTTTCATATAAATGATATTCACAAAGAATTGACATTTTGCTTTGGGTGCACCAAATGCATTTCCAAGTTTTATTGCCTTTTTATAGTAGCAGTGACATCACTGTGCTGCATATGGCCTGTGCAGCGCTGTGGGAGGGACCCAGCAGAGACCACCCACTACAGGCTGCCTGCAGAAAACTACAGGGCTAGAGGGGATGGAGACAAGACCAGTCACCCTGCACAAGGAGAAAGCAGCAGTGACCGGTCTTTATTACAGGAGGGGGGCGGAGACGAGACCAGTCATCCTGAACAAGGAGAAAGCAGCAGTGACCGGTCTTTATTACAGGAGGGGGGCGGAGACTAGACCAGTCATCCTGAACAAAGAGAAAGCAGAAGTGACCGGTCTTTATTACAGGAGGGGGGCGGAGACTAGACCTGTCGCCTTGCACAAGGAGAAAGCAGCAGTGACCGGTCTTTATTACAGGAAGCTCCAACTCTCACTGGATTACTGCACAGATGAGGAAGAAATTCACAAAGCTCACCAAGATTCCAGAAGAATACACATGACTCTCTTGTATTTAGACATTGCTAGCTTATCCCAAAGTTCAGCTTTAGCGATGCCTATTTCTGCTGGCTGCACTTCTAATATATGTAATATATTGCATCTTGTAAGTCCTTGGATGTAGTGGCTGCATTGGTTTTCTTTTTTTTCAGGCTTGTCCCCCCTTTTATTTTCACCTGGTGATCCTGCCAGCAACACACTTCCTGTTATGGGGTGACAGCACTCGCTCGCTGTACTGAGGAGGAGCAGCGATATTACCCTAGGACAAGGAAGTGTGTTAACACTACAGAACACCTCCATCTCCACATCTCTTTAATGTAGTGCGTGTTCTGTAGTCCACAGAAAGTTGGGAACAGTGTATGTGGCTACGCTCACCCCCTCCACTACATTTATGGAGGAAGCCATGATTGGCACACAGACTGGACTTCAAACATGTCTCTTCATCCCTGTTACATGGTAAATAACAGAAGTAAAATAGTTCAGCTCACCAGAAGCCCATCATTTCTAGCAGCATCAGCAGGAATTTTCTGTACTTGGCGAAAATGTTCTTAGCATGAAAAAAGGAAACAAATGCAGTCACAATGTCTCCGGACTGGTCATCTGCAATATATTATGTATAGGGAATATTGGAGATGTTGGCACGGTTGTGTGTGTGTGTGTGTGTGTGTGTGTGTGGTTTTCTTTCCCTCTGTACGGTGTGTAGTTTATGGGTTTCCCCCGTGTTCTTCCTCTTTCACACATGCCGGTCATCCTCCAAGTGGTAGGTGTGACATCTGCGTCAGCCTTCAGCATACAAGTCATACGGAACCTGAAGTAAGGTGTCAGGCTAATCCTCCATTGTGCGGCCCTAATCCTCCGCACCGCTGGTTAATATTTAACAAGCAGAGGGAAAACACAGCACACATCGGTCTGGCTTAACCTGTCACCGTATGCACGTAGTCAGGCTTGTAACGGAAGATTGTCAGTGGCCCATTGTGGACCCTTCTGTAATGCCGGCTGTCTGACTCTCACGCTGTGCTAACTTTGAGTCTCTGATCTGGAACAGTCATGCAGCCAGCGACGGCACAACTCCTCCTCAGCATACTCACCCCCAGGACAGTGACTCAGATATTAAAGCCTTTGGATATGTGTGAGAGCCAGACAGCAAGCATCTTCGGCAGGCAGCATTTCTATCTCCAAGTCTAACCTTGTTTTCTTATAAACCAAAAAAAAAGCCACAGTCTTAGTAGAGGTGCCTGTCCCCTGCAAGCATCTGCAGAAGCGGACCCTCAGTCTCTGTGCGCAAGCCTTGCCATTGCTATTGTATAGAAACGGCAGCTAAAGATTTCATAGGTATGCACCTAATAATATGAAGTGGATATTGATCTATTGGTTAGTTCTCTTGAACTGTAGAGCTGAAGAACTGTAAATATGTACAATTATTATTTTTGTGTTTTTATTTTTGTTTTTATTCGTGACATACTTCCTATCCTAGGGTGACAACACTAACATACTGTATCTGTGTAGAAGCAGCATTGTCACCCTAGTACAGGAAGAGTTTTAGTAGTATGGGACTCAAGTCTCTCCATTATTTATCATAAGGGGAGGGTGTTCTGTAGTTGGAGAGAGAGCTGGGAACAATTTAACGAATAACACGACAGATCAGAGCTTTTCAGATGTACTAACACTGAAATTGTGCTTGTTTATAGATTGTACCGCTGAATCGGAAAGAAATAAATGCCAAGGAGCTTGTGCGTCAGCTGCAGTTTGAGGCGGAAGAACAGAGGAAACAAAAGAAACGCCAAAACGTCTCCGGACTACACAAGTTAGTACTCTGACACAGGACAAGATGCTGCCTGCGTCCAGGGTCGGATATCTGTCACTAGTGGCAGGTTGACATTTACACGTGAATATCGGCTCCAGTCAGCCTGTCGTTGCTTTGTACAGGCTGAGCGGCTGCAGCTTTCCATAACCGCCGGTCATTCCTGCCGCATGTATCCGCGGTTGGACCTACTTGGCCCATGTGATTGAGACCTTAACCTGTTCTGTGGCAAACCGCCCCACCCACCTTCACAGCATTACTACGGTACAAATGCTCATGAAATCCCTTTCTGGGTATGATGGGGCTAGTAGTCCCACAGCCACTGGAAAGCCCAGCTTTTCTGTACCCATAACGTTCCAGCTGTGTTGACATTGGCCGTGGATCAGCCCATACGACACTTACGGGAAAGGATCGTCCGCATGTTGCAATAAGTGAACAGGGTTGGGCCCATGTGACAAGTTTTGTTTTTTTTGTCAGGTGATCTGACCCCCTTGAGATTATTAAGCAGCACATTAGTGGGAGATGATTCAGTTCATGATGTGTGAATGGCGCAGGTGAGGCCGGTTACATAATCCTCTTGTGTTGTGATAGAAGCCTATCCATTGCTGCATTCCTTGTATAGGAGACGGCCCAGCGCTGAGGCTCCTAGGAAGGCAGTATGCAGGTATTATGTGCGGCCTCTTCTCACACCCATGTATCGTACATTTTGGCTTGTATAACATTTCTAATCCATGGGCTCTGAGCATACAGATCATATACCTGACACCGACTCATTATCCCACATGCATATATTGTTACCAGCCAAACAAGCGGCGATTCCTTATTCATGTACATCTCTTACTGTGCCGAGTTCGATGGCCGATTTGGACTAGATGTGTTCCAGGAGTCAGATAACCTGGGCACTGTCAGAATACAGTAGCCTGGCAGGGAAGATTCCACGGTTGATGGATAAGGAAAAGTATATATCCAGCTTAAAAAAATCTCTTTGCCCTTTGGTTGACACAGACGTGGCATATGCTGGCAGCAGTGGGCCCCTGTAAGCAGACTCATAGCAGCTATAGCAGTCAGGAGTCCATTTGCATGTGTTGCCTGTGTGAAGCAAATTCCAGGGGATCTGGAACATGCGCCCCCCTCCCCTCCCACACAAAGTTTCCTGGGCTCCAGTACCCCTCCTGCAGGACTGGCATCCTGGGAGTCGGCAGAGAGACCAGCGAACATCTGTTTGCTGATCTTCTCCCCACTGAATGTACCTGGAAGTGGCAATAAGGTTGTCACTTCCGGTTTCTGAGCGGTCATGCCCCAGCCTTCCCCTCTGTCTCCCTAAAGAGGACCTGTTACCAGTAACTTGCTATCACATGAGCCCCCCTCATGCGATGGCAATAAGTATAAAGCAGAATTCTAGGTACATTTTTTTTTTCTTAACCCTTGCAGTGCCAGGGGTTTTCCTTTTCTGTCTAGGTTCAAAAATAACAGATACACTCGCCTGATCTTTGGAGCCGGCTGTAACAGCGCTCCCCCCCTGCTTGCCTGCCACTTCCACTGCAGCAATGGTATTACCTTGGCGTCCTATACACTGTGTATAGAATGTGGTGACTCGGGGACCTTAGACCACTGCAGCAAAGGGGGAACGAGGTTTCAGGGACCAGAGGATTGGATGGAGCTACGTCCTCATTGTTACTTCTGTCCATGCCATAACTTCTGCAGTTTCAATAGTTGATTTGTTTTCACGGTTTGTAATCATTCATAAAACTTCCATTTGGCAGATACCTTAATTTGTTGGACGGTAAAGAAAATTACCCTTGCTTAGTAGATGCGGAAAATGCGGTCATATCTTTCCCGCCAATCACCAACAGTGACAAGACCAAGGTATGTTACCTCAGCATATGAATAGTGTCACATATTCCCTGCCTACTATTGTCACTTAAAGCTGAAGTTTAATCTGATTTCGCCTCTCCTGGTTCCCCCCGTCATCAGCATGCCAATGTCATATTTAAATCAAACCTTTGTTTTCATTACATTTTATTATAGTTCCAGTGAGGTCATCATTTGGTATCTGTTAGGGATGCACTGATACCAGTTTTTCTGTATCGAGTACTGATGTTTTGCTTTCGGTACTCACCGATGCAGAGTACAGATACCAGTGCTTCCGCTGGTATAGAGCCGGCTTCCCGGGCGATCAGGAAGCCGGGGGGCGGGCAATGACGTGCCGCTTGGCTTTCTGATTGCCCGGGAAGCCAGCTACATGTTTGTCTGGCTCAATTCGTTGAGAAGCCAGTTTCCCGGCCAATCATAATCGGCATCGAGCCAGCTTCCGGGGCAATCAGGAAGCCGGGCGGCGAATAATGACCTGCCTCCCCGTTTTGGCTGGAAAGCCCGCTTCCCAGCCAATCAGCAAGGACGCTAGAAATCCTCCAGCCAGGAAATTCGTTGGGCTCTATCTGACTTGCTGCAGCTTTTAAAGCACTTTGTGAGAAACTTGCAGTGTGCAGTGATATCAGAGTAAGAAATTCCAATCCCAGAGAGGAGCCGGTACAACTGTGCAAGACTGAAGTGAAGGCCGGAGTTCAACCTTAAAAGAACAGTTCCCTCAAAATCCTTATTCGTTCAATCACGACCATCTTTTTATCTCCCATGGACTGTGCTGAAGGCTCCCTACACCTTAGATTTGCCCATGTAGTCATTGTGGGAGGTGGTTGGAGCTGGGGACTCTCATTGTTGGAGTTGCTTTAATATTAAAGATGTTTGGTTCACTCTATGGCCAGAAGTTTGTGGATGCCTATGGACATTCCATTCCAAAACCATGGCCATTAATATGGACTTGGCTCCCCTCACAACTAGAACAGCCTCCATTCTTCTAGGAAGGCTTTCCACAAGATAATGGAGAGTGTGGGAATTTGAGCCAATCTGTGTGCCAGTGAAGGACACTTTAGTTCCGCCACATCAAACACATGTCTTTATGGAGCTGGTTTTGTACACGGGGCAGTCATGGTGGACTAGAAAAGGGTCTTCCTCCCACACTGTTACCACAAGGATTTGTATTCTGTTGCATTTATTTGTACCCGTCACTGGAAGTGCCTAAACTCAATTATTTGGAGGGGAGTACACATTTATTGGCCATCGAGAGTATAATAAAAATAACTGCACAATGGGAATAAAAACCGGACATGCTCTACCCTTTTCCCACTCTGTGCCAAACTAGTCTTTGGTTGGAGTTGGGTTTTACAGGCCCATTGACCCAATTTAAAGTACAATTATGGATTACAATGACAACTATTTTTTTCCCCCCACAGATAACCAAATCCACCCAGGCACTCTTGTTGGAAGTCACCAGTGCCAGCAGCCTGCAGACTTGCAAAGATGTCATGGATGCTCTCATTGAAGTAAGTGGCAATCTCTATTGTGCCCATGTAATGGTTTTATTACAGGTATTTATATAGCGCTGACAATTTACACAGCGCTTTACATAGTGCACCTCCACATCAGTCCCTGCCCTCAAGGAGCTTACAATCTAAGGTCCCTATCTCACATGCATACAGGGTCGATTTTTAGACCGGAGCCAATAAACCTATCGTCGTGTTTTTGGAGTGTGGGAGGAAACTGGATTACCTGGAGGAAATCCTCGCAAGCGCACAGCAAACACTGGGATTTGAACCTAGGACCCCCAGTGCTGCAAAGCAGAAGTGCTAACCACAAAGTCACTGTGCTGCTTCATTCATTTGGTTTTCTACTGTGGGTGCTGTGTTCAGCATTGTGTGAATGGTGGTAGACCTTGATATTTTGCTAGAGAAGGTCTAGTGGTGAACCAGCAGAACGTGATAATTAATTGGGCAGCACAGTGGCTCAATGGTTAGTGCCTCTGCCTTGCAGCACTGTGGGTCTTTGGTTTGAATCCAGTACACACTCTGCACTGAGTTTGCATATTCTCCCTGTGCCTGCCTAGATTTCCTCCTTCGTATCCCATTTCTTCTCACCAGTGGGGAAGCTAGACATTGTCACCCGGGGCAAAGGCTTAGGGTTGCTCCCCCGATGGGGGAGACTTTTTCCATCCACACACCCAGTGTTACCCTTCCTAAAACTGCACTCGCTTCACCTGCCCCCTAGCTTGGGCCCTGCTTCTCACACTCCAAAAACCCTGCTGGTAGGATAATTGGCTTCTGTCTGTAATGTGTATGTATGTCAAATAGGGACCTTAGATTGTAAGCTCCTCGAACAGGAACTAATGTGAATGAATAGTATGTAAAGTGTTGTGTGACTTGAGGGCAATAAATAAACTAGTCGTATATACATTACTACCGTAGAAGTTGTGTTCACATCAGATATCATTATTTTCATAGCGATGGTGCTTTGTCTTTAACCCCTGCAGCAGGTCTCGTGCCACCGTTTGTGAAGGCGGAGGTTAGCGGGGGTCATTTTCAGCTTATAGCCTTGTGTATTTCCTTGTCCGTGCCAAGATGAGCAGAATGCTGCGGGTCAAATTAGGTGTTTGCTGATGGGATGGGTTGGCTGGAAAAGCTCCAGTGTTGAAATGTTACAGGCGATCATGTACTGTTCTGTGTAGCTGTGTACACAGTTTCTGTTAATGCAACCTGTGGAGACCGGCTACTATGTCATGTGTTTTCCTAGCCATGTCATGCGACGGTTTTGGATGCAAGTTTGATCAAAATTGCCTTCTGCCCTATTTAGATTAAGCCCCCGCCTCTCCCTTTGCTAAGCGACTCCCTCTGTCATTCAGAAGTCAGAGCAGAAGATGTTCCCGGTCTGCAGTGGTCAGGATCTAGCAAAAGTGGTTCAAGGAAGGAAAACCAGCGAACATGGGCGGCCAAGGTTCATTGCTGCACATGGGGAGCGAAGGCTGGCTCCTTTAGTCTGATCCTATAGAGGAGCTTCTATAGCTCAAATTGCAGATACAGTTGATGCTGGTTCTGATAGAAAGGTGTCTGAGCACACAGTGCATCGCAGTTTGTTGCATATGGGGCTGCGTAGCTGCAGACCGGTCGGGGTGCCCATTTTTTCAGCAACATATTGACTTATTGTACTGATTCTCCTTCCCCCACTCTGAGATCTGCTGTACAGGATAGGGAAGCTGATGCAAGGTCAGATTCAGTTACTTAACACTGCTTGCCTTAAAAAAATACAGATCTGCACTTATTATTGTCCTGTATCTGCCCGGAGTTCAGCTTTAATGTGTAGAAGTCAAATCCTTAGGTACCACCTGGGCCTAGGATCCAGTAGATGACTCCACATAGACAAATGGGCCAACTTTGAGGACTAACACAGGTAATACAGATGCTTAAAGATGCATCACTTCACCGCCATTGTTACCCTGGGGAAGTATTTTAGGTCAGCTGCACTTTAAACGTCTTTAAGAACGTGTGATGATGACAGATTGTCCATCCAAGCTGGAACAAAGTGAAAGCGATATGCTTGGTGACCACATGAGTCGGTTTCGTTTTGCAGCCGTTGCTCTAGATAAGGACTCTTCATTTGTTAATGTTACTTTTTAAAGACGCCGGCCTATTTTTAGCAAACCGTTCCTTTCGATGGACATTTCTCACAATCTGAGACGGGTGGAATTTCATGTCTTCCGATACAGAGTGACGTACCAGCGTAAGCGGAAAATCTTTTCATTAAGGGGCTCGGTAAAGCGTGACGTCTGTTTTACAGTTGTTTCTGGAAAAGCTTGCTAGACTCTCTGGGGGCTGATGTATGAAAGGCAAAGAACATTTAAGGGATCATTCATTTTATAGCCCCTCCCCCATGTAATCCAAATTTTTTTTTTTTCTTGTTTTGTTTCCTTCTATGCACAGAAAATGGCAGAACTTAATAAATTCACGATGGAGAACAAAGAGGAGGAAGTGGGTTCAGATACAGAACATCAGGAAAGCTCAGAGTCTCAAAATCCTGAAACCTCAGACAGCACCCAGCTCGTGCTGGAACAAGTGCGCGTCGCGGACATGGACGGCAACCTGAAAGTTCTGTACCCGTCAAAGACCGACCTGAACTTGAGCTCTTCCTCTTTTTTGGTCGTTCGTTAAAAAGCATGTGTATGAAATGTAATCGTGTTGCCTCCAGCGGCCAAATTAAGCCAAAGTAGGAAGATGACGGCTCAATGCTGATTGGTTGCTGTAAGCAGTAAAAACTCCTTTTCCCCTGTAAAAGAAACTTGGCATTTATAGTTCATTTCAAACGTTTTAGCACTTCTGAAACTGCACCTAACACTTGCGAGGAAACCTAATTTATTTTTTATTCTTTTTCTGTTTTTATGTCGGTTGTAGCCTTTTTCTAGTGTAAATATATATTAAAATATTGTTTGTCAAGCTGACTTTGGGCAAAATAAACTGGCAGTTCCAAAACCGTTTCTTAACATCGAAGTAAGGAAAAGTTAACATATAGAGTAGACTCTCTGGCGGGCTCCCTGGGTCTCTCTGGCGGGCTCCCTGGGTCTCTCTGGCGGGCTCAGAGCCAACATTGGATTGTGCCCTTCCCCCTAAGTGTTTATGTACCAGTATCCTAAGGTTCTCTCACACTTTTCACAGCATACAATAACTGGTACTTTTCAGCTGGGGGCTCACTTTGTGTTTAAAATTGAATTCCAGGCAAGCAGCTAAATAGTTAAAATCGTGTGTGTTTTTTTTTTTTTCTCTTCAACCAGTGCTGTGATCCAGGCTTCCCTGCCACCAAGCACTCCTTCAGATCCTTGACCACCCCTGCAGTACTAGCGGAGCTTGGTCAATAAAACACTTCCAGTCCTGATGAGTACTCTGCTCCTTCATTGTCTAATCATGAGGTAGTCCTTAAAGTGACATTAAAGTCAAAACATTTCCCCCCCATGTTAATGTCAGCACTTACCTTAAATGATGTCTCTTAATCCGATCTTCCTCTTCTTTCCTGTAGTTTTCAGCCTTCTCTCCAGCGCTGCGGCGGGTCTCTGATCCAGCGCTGACTCATCTGTCCTTGCCGGCACTTCCTGTCCCACGGTGTCTGCATGCGGGTGCACGCGTCCTTAGACTTACCTTGCGTCTCTCCTCTCCTCCCGGCCGAAAATCCGAACTGCGCATGCCCCAAGATGCTTTGCGTCCGCCTGAGCATATAACAATAACAATTAATGTATTTATAGCAGTTGATGTAAAAAAAAAAGATTTTCTAATGATTATATATCACATGTATTGCTTCATCTGTCTGGAGTTCAGCTTAAAAGCATAAGAAGTTCATTGTTAGGTTTTCAGTTAACTTGTGCGGGGAAATTCCAGGGAGTGTTTTCACTCTTCTTCCCGGCTGGCTCGGTCATGGAGCAGATATATAATGGAGCAGGTGCTGCTTGGTGGGATCTGCTATATATGGCTAGGCTGCATTGATTCCGGGGGTAACTAGGCCGGGCATTTAGCAATATTTCCTGGAATGGGATTGCATAATACTGGTTCTTCCTCAGCCACACACAGGACAGGAGAAACCACGTTACAATGTACCTTTCACTTGGCAGACTGAAAGGTTTTGTCTGTAGTACACTCTGTTCATTGGCATCAATGTTTAGTCTGATAAAGTGTACCTGTCCTTGACAATGCCAACTGTTGTAGTTTCCCACCTGTTTTATCAGCCTTTCTTCAACTCTATTGCTCAAAAATAGTGGACATTGAGATAGGATGATCAGATGCCCGTGCGTATGGCCAGCTTAAATTTGACCCTACAGCTCACGAATGGTTGTTGCACTTAAAGTGGAAGTATACTTAAAAAAAAAAACTGCTAGAAAGAGTATTTTGGCAGATGAGACGAGAGGTAATGTCTCCTTCTGCCCCAAAAAATGACTGGCCTTGCCTGTAGTAGCTTTTATTGCTTGTCTACATTGTATGGTGCAGTGCACTACCCTGGGTCTTCCCCAGCATCTGTAATATGCCAGGGATGGAGCCGGGTGCTGAGGGTGGTGGAACTCCTGGGCACATGTGTGGAAATTACATCAGCAGAGCTAGCCTAATGAGTGAAGAGAATGTCGGGACCCTGGAAGAAGCAGCAGAGGAGATGGGGAGCAGCGACTGACAACCAGGATTGGTCAGTGCTGGAGGAGTGTACACTAAGGTAATTGTGCCATAAACTGCAAGTACGCTATGCCAAACCTTCACATTTCAATGCGGCTTTAGATTTATTTGTTGATTTGCCAGCTGACCTGGCACTGCTGCTCTGTACCTCTCCTCTGTATACACAAGTGGTGAGATGAAGTGCCAACTTCAGATTACTAATGCCCCAGACCTTGTACATACGGGTTTTAGCCTGGATGAGAGCAGTGGTTGTCAACTTGTGAGGTGTATGGGGCCTGAACTATAGCCCCTGACAGCTTCAAAGGTCTGCACATAATCAGTATGATAGAATACTGTCAGAGACTTGAGACATACTTGAGTTTATGCTTAGAGACCGCAGACATGCAACAGGGAGGGGTGGCTAGAGATTAAAGATGCATTACAGGAGATAAGAGACTGGGCGCGTGCTTCATGAGACTGATGGAGGTCACTGACATTGCAGGTTCTTTACAAATGCTTCAAATACTGACTGCTGGGATTTGCAAATGGCCAGACAGCATGCACCAAAGGGCCACAGGGCGTGTAAAGCAAGTTTTAACAATGCATTTGCAAAGCTTTCAGCCAGTTTGAGGAAGCTTGTTTAAAGCGATAGTGAGCATTCCCATTATGATCTGTTTAATATTTGCAAACATGAGCTGAAGGGAATGTACAAGGAAGCTGCTCAAAGCTTTGCAAACACTTTCGTGTGCTGTACGCATTTCTCCTATACAAGCTATGTATGTACCTTAGAGCACCTCCTGACCTCTGCTAAAGAGTACTTGTGCTCTTTTCTAAACAGCGATCTACATTGGAAGTCTCCGTTATAATATGTACATTTGTTTTTTCTCTGAACCCCTGTCTCCTCATTGAGAGATAATTCCACCAAGCTGGCCAAGAACATTCAGCTTTAAGTCAAAAGTCCGTAGATGCTCCTTTACTTGCATCTGCACTCTTTCGAGGTGACATTGGTGTCCTTCTGCTACCTTCCCGTTTGAGTGAGGAAGACCATGTGAGTTTTGGCTGTGTTGGTTCCTAGAGATGCCACCAGATTAAGCAATACCAAACGTGTGGGTGGCTTCTCTTTCAAATCCTAATGACTGACCACTTGCTTTGTCCCCACTGAGCCGACCCAGAAAACAACATGATGACGGCTCCTTGTGTTTTGAGGTGGAGGTGACCCAACTGCTGCACAAAATAGAACACCGGTAATTGGATAATAAAGTAAAATTGTCATTTTCTTCCCATTCCTGGAAGGTCAAAGGGTTGGGATGATGGAATACAGGATATCTTTAACCACTTGAGTACTAGCCTGTAAATACCCCTTCCTTACCCGGCTGTTTTTCGGTGCTGTGATAGTTTGAAAATTATGGGAACGCTATACCCAAATGTCATATATTTTTAATTTTCAAGAGAGCTTCCTCTAGGTGGTATTTAGTAAATAAAATAACTATATAAAAAAATAAACCCTGACTCCCGACTCCTTTTATGCCTTTTGTTTGTGATTCCGGACGTTGAATAGACGTGCACTGGCCACCCGCCTTCTTTTTAAACAGCACTTCAGGAATACATGACTACCACTCTGGCATTTTAAAACATATGTTGGTAGTTAGGTAGAATGCCAATTTCTTGTGCTGATGTGGTAGTCCCTTCTTGGTTGTTAACTGCACTTCTTTCTCCAGACTGCACATATTCCTATGAATTCCCTGTGCACTGCTGACTCTGGTTCCTTAAGAGCCTTGCCATAGTGCTCTCTGGAGAAAGGTCACATCAGGACAGGAAGTGTCTGCGAGCTCCCCGCTGGGGTACTAGAGAGTTACATGGTGTATAAACCCTCCACAAAAAAAAAGTTCATCTTTAAAGTGTACCTGTAGTTTTTTCAGTTGTAGTAAAGTCTCTGTGATTTAATAGTAGGCAATCCTAATTTAGTAAGCCAACCACTACAGACCTTCAGGAGCGATGGCGCCAACAGCCCAACAGTAGCCTCCATTTGTGTGCCGGAGTGCCCTGGACTTGGACGCTCTCAGGCAACTCTAAAAGATTATTATCATTCAGGACTTGTATAACACCATCATGCATGCAGTAGAGTTTCAAAACAATTCAAGACGAGGGTTAAGAGGGCCCTACTTGAGAGCGCTTATGGGCTGTAAGGGAGGGATAAGTGATACAAATGTAATAGTTGGGAGGGGATATGTTGATTGAGTCCATTTGTTTGGTAGAGGTGGGATAGGCTTCGCTGAAGAGATACGTTTTCAGGGATCTACTAAAAGCTGACTCAGTAGGAGATAGCTGGACAGATTGGGTTTCCAAAGGAAGGGAGAGACTATGGAGGTGAGCATGGGGGGAGGTGACAAGGGAACTAGAGATCAGGAGGTCTTCGCAGGAGAGAAGAGAATGGTTTGGATGATATTTTGAGACGTTGGTGATGTACCTTTTAGGCAGAGTTGTAGATGTCTTTGTATGGTATTAGAATATGTGCAGACACCAGAAGGAGTTCACTGTTCAATCACAAAGGACATTTTCTACAATAATATTGCTGTAAGTTTGCTTTAAAAGAACCCATACTCAATTTTAAACATTTAAAGTTAAGATCTGCCCAAGGACAAACAAATGCCTGCTATGTATTAGCACAAAAGGTGTTTTTTTTCTGGGTCTCTGTGTGTTATTGGGGTTTTTATTCTTTTATTTTTTTTAACCTGGATGTCTTGGCTAAGGCTGCCAACTGCCATTCTCTTGTTCATTGGCACTGCCCCAGGAGCCAGTCTAATTGGGACAAAGGGATTACATTTGGCAGGTCCTAGTCAATGAATGTCAGGCTCCCAACTAAATCTGAGAGTGGCACAGCATTTTTTTGAGGGCAAAATGAAAGTTTCCTTCAATGCAGAATAATGACACCCAGTCATACGTGACTTGGACATGTCAGGGAATGAGAGGTGCTTAACAAACAGACCTATGTACATAAAGAATTCAAAAGCCGACGATAAGCCTTTTACAGTTGTACACTATGACCGTGCGTTGGTCTCTTTCTGTTGTTTTGTTAGTTTAAAGATCCACAATTACACTTGGCTTATTTGCTAATAAACAACTGAGCATTAATAATGATGTAAATATTACTCAAGTGATGTGAATATAGGCTTAAAGGCCAGTCCACCCAAAGAAGATGATATAATAA